TAATTTTAATTAAATAATATTTATATATTCTTTATTTAATTTTAGTAACTTTCTTTTGCTTAATTTGTTTTGTTTTTATTATATATTATTTTAAAATTGTTTTAAAATTTCTTTTTCTTCATATTATAAATAATTTTTTGTTTGGTTTAAAATTCTTTTTAATTCTTTTCATTTTATGATAAAAATGTAATTTTTTTCAGTTTTAATTAAATAATATTTATTTTTAATTTTAATTATTTTAATTCAATTTAAAAACTTTATAATAATTTTTTTTATTTATTTTCACACACCATTTCACTTCATCCATCCAATATTAATAAAGAAAAGAAACTAAATAATTTAACAAATTAAAGAATAAAAAAACAAAACAATAGGTTATTATAAAGTTTTATAATTAAATCAAATTAATTAAAATTAAAAATAAATATTATTTAATTAAAATTGAAAAAATTACGTTTTATCATAAAATGAAAAGAATTAAAAATAATTTTAAATCGAAAAAAATATTTATAATAAGAAGAAAAAAGAAATTTTAAAACAATACACACACACACACACACAAACGTAAGTTTTATAATAAAGAGAAAAGAAAGAATTAAAAAAATTTAAATCGAAAAAAATTACTTATAAATAAAATTGAAATAATTAAAATTAAAAATAAATATTATTTAATTAAAATTAAAAAAATTACGTTTTATCATAAAACAAAAAGAATTTTAAATCGAACAAAAAATTATTTATAATATGAAGAAATAGAAATTTTGAAACAATTTTTAAAAAAAAATAGTAACAGCAAAACATATTAAACAAAAGAAAGTTATGAAAATTAAATAAGGAATATATAAATATTATTTAATTAGAGTTGATAAAATTAAGTTTTATCGTAAAGAGAAAAGAATTAATAAGTATTTTAAATCGAATTTTTTTTACAATATTAATGAAACCAATTAAAAAAAAGGAGACTCTGTTATGGAGAGAGATGGAGAGTTTCTCTCCATAATACGAGAAGAGTTCTATCCGTGTTATGGAGAGACTCTCCATGTTATAGAGACATTTTTTTATTTTATTTTATGGAGAGTTTCTCTCCATGGAGAATTCTCTCCGTGTTATAGGAGAATTCTTTTTTTTTTGTTCATGATATAAATATTTTTTTTAATTTAAAATTCTTTTTAATTCTTTTCACTTTACGATAAAACTTAATTTTTTCAATTTTATATTAAATAATGTATATATATATATATGTGTGTGTGTGTGTGTGTGTGTGTGTTCTTTATTTGATTTGTATAACTTTCTTTTGTTTAATTTGTTTTATTTTTATTATATATTTTTTGAAAATTGTTTTAAAATTTCTTTTTTTCTTTATATTATAAATTATTTTTTTCAATTTTATTTTTTTAAATTCTTTTCGTTTTATGATAAATCAAATTTTTTTCAATTTATTAATTAAAATTTTTTATTTTTAATTTTAGTTAGCTCAATTTAAGTAAAAAAAAAAAAAAAAAAACTTTATAACAATTTTTTTTGCCTTTAATTCTTTTTTTTTTTTGCTCTTTAATTATTTTATTAGTATTGGTGTAACATGATAGTAACAATTTGGATCGTGCAGCACACGTCACACAACAATTCAACCATTTGTATTCTCAATACAAACTTTTTACACACAACAAAAAAGAAAACTCATTTGAAATTAGATAAATGTGAACGCGTACCAAAAATGAACAGTACTCATCACATCCTCTCTTTTATATAGAGGCAAGAATTATGTAACTCATATTTTGATGTTTGAATAACATATATAATACTACTACCATGTAGTATAATCAATTTGATTTAAGTTTTGAAAGTTTTAAATCTTAATCATTAAAATATTTAATTTGATATTTAATTATTTTGAATTTTATACGAGCCCTCATATATTTTTAAGTTATTAAAGTGAATGCCGATAAACCATGAATTTGGGCTATATTCTATATTTGCTAGATTTCACGTGATTGTGTTCAATCGAAACAATATTTCTTTTGCGGTATATTTGATATACTATATTTGAAAATAAGTTTATGGTCAAATTAAATTTTGACATGGTGTTTAAATAATTTGGAGTATAAAATTACAAATATTTTGTATCTAAAGCTTACTTTATTAATATGAATGCATGTTTACATAGATCAATATTGTTAAACCATATTTGATACTTTATGGTTATGTTAATTCTTATTGGTTAATGTTTTGGGAAACATTAGCATCATTGTGTTCGATCATGTTGTCCAAGTTGGAGAATTAATGGTTTATATTTATATTTGGACTAATCACTAAGCTCATAAAGTCTTGTCATATAGTTTAAATGATAATCCATTTAATTAAATCATATTTATTACGCGAGACATTAATTTTGACCAATAATCATATACATTGAATTTTCATGTCATGTAATAGATGTCATCCTTTCTTGCTCTATAGTAAGTGACATCCTGTCTATAAGCTTGAGGAAGGTAAGAAAAAAAGAAGATTTTGGAATGTGGTAAAGAAGTTCCACAAGTTGAATACCTTCGAAATGTGGAAGTGTTTGAAATTTCAGATAGATACATCTTAAATTTTTATCCTTTTTTGTAAAATTGATTTTTGGAAAATGTTTGAAATAAAATTGTACACCTGCTGATGAAGTGCAAAAGTTAAATGGATGCATCGGCCCAAATGTGCTACTAAAGTTAAAATTAGAAAGTTCATGTATTTATCTTATGTGATATTATATACTTTGAAAATTACATAGATAACTTTGCAGATGTCCAAACGGAGAATAAGAGCTTCTAAATATTGATGATACCATAATTTTTGTCCAAGAGAGATACGAAATAAAGTATAGTCCATGATGGACATACATAAATCATTGAGGGGATGTGTTAGCCCATAAGGGAGTCATCTTCGGGAGTAAATCAACCTTTGTTATTGGAGATCCCATGAAGAATGTTCAATGTGGTAAAAAACCCCGTATTGCATAACTTGTAGTAACACTATTATTGTGCTCATCCTTATGGTGGTAGTGCTAATATAAATGTGATGTTAAGAAGTTTTAATCTTGAATGAGTACTCGAGCGAGAATTTTCGCGAGGTGCGGGTCTCATGTACCATTGGAGGACTCACATATGTAAGAGTTGCCACGAGGCCATGGCTATGGGATTGTGTAATACTTTAGAGACTCTTACTAGATCAAGATTAGATCGCATAGCCATTAAGAACGCTACCCGCTATAAACTAGAGCTTAAACCAATACTTTGTCTAGGAAAATTGAAGTTTGGTCAAAGGAACATAATTCAAGGCTTCGTCCATTATGACTTCCTCAAATAAAAATTGTTCTCACTAAGTGAGGTTTAAATCTAAAAGACACCGACGCCTATTATACAATATAAGGTAATCACTATATATTATTTATTTATCTATTTTGAAAGCTTAAAACTTATGGGGATCGTTGTAACATAGTTATGCTCAAAGAATAACGCGGTAATTGAAGCACGGCTTTAGAGTGTCGATTTTATAGGGAGATGGTTGACTACTTGCAGGATTCAATAGCTTGGGGTTCTCGTGAATTGTGTGAAAAGAACTTATCGATTGGAATGAAATTTAAATATCAATGGATGAATTTAATGAAGCATCAAAATTCCCTCACTTGGTTTGGATCAATCAACATTAATGACTCATTCTTTTTTTTTTTTTTTGGTATCCAATTAGAGATTTTTATCCCAATTCTCTAATCAGAAGATACAGTATTAAACACCAATTTAATTTGATAGTAATTCTAAAATCTAGGTTTCCTATAACACATTCCCACGTTTATTTATTGGAATAAGATTCAAGAAGCAACCATATACATCAAGCATAAGGCAGTAATGAATTACACCAACAAAAATAATTGAAATTGAAACTCAAACAAATATTTCAATCGTTCAATGGAAAAAGTATGACTGAATTCATGAAAAATTTAATAAAAGTTAAGTCAATCTCAAAAAATTTTTTATAAAAAGGAAATAGAAACCTTAAAATTGTTCAACAGTGAAAGTCACTTACATGAGTAAAAGGACGTTAAAATCTCCAAATCCAATTAAGTTCTTTCGTAGCTTCATTGAGATCTTTAGTTCTCCATGAAATTCTTGCTCAAAACCAGAGAAAAATAGGTATAGAGATGTGTCCCTTGCGTTCTAGGACATTCTAGGGTTTAAATATCGTGATAGAGATGTGTTTCCATTAGAGTTTGACTTAAAATTAGGAAACCAGACATCGCGCCACAAGAATGAACCATGTGACTGCATGGTAGAATATAGTATGACCGCATGGAACAATTGAAACACGGCCTTCCCTTATCTGAAGGTGACCATGCGACCGCATGGTTTTACCAATTTCCACCATGTTACATTTTAGTCCCTAAACTTCGTTTCTCGTTTCTTGATCTCTTTTCTCATCTTTCCTTCTTCCAACACTTCATGTCTTCTACCAATTGGTCTTCAGCTCTTTCACATCTTCATTCTACCTTCCAGTTCATCTCTTGAATATTTGCAGTTTGGTCCTAGAACTTTTACTTTATTCTATTTTTGTCATTTTTCGCATGTTTCTTCCAATTTCTATTGTATTCATCTATTTGCAACCTAAATCAAAATATAAAGATACAGAGTACATTTAGGCATCAATTTTTGTGTAAGTGCAAGTATTAATGAATGAAAAATATAACAATTTTGTGTCATTATCATAACATAAAAATAAAGTTTTAACCTTTTAATATTTGAACCATTTAATTTTATGTTTTTTGATTTAATAATAAGTTTTTATACAAATTAAAAATATCATAATTCATATTATAACTTATATTTTAATGGTTTAATTGTGGAGGTTAGGGATGGCA